TATTTTTTCTCTTTTCATTTCCAGATAAAGATTTTATTGTCTGGATCAAGGTGATTCTTATACCAGGCCTGGCAACCATACAACTGACATGTGGAGACCTAAATTACTATTAAATAACAATTACTGAGAACATTTTTAGCAAGGAACTTATCAGTGATGTCTAGCAATTAGTTAATTAGCAACTGTATATAATATTAGGAAGCATTTTCTTATAATTATTGACTTACTTCCATAAATGCAAACGTACAAAGAAAGAACAAAAATAGCATAAAATGACTAAATGCACAAAAATCACTTTATTCACCATAAATTAGACATTTTTTGATGATATTGCAAAAATAAGTTGATTTGCTTATGCCAATTGAGTACAGAAAATATAATTTTATAATACAATCAGAAAATGATTTCAGCATTTTACAAAATCATGTATCAACAAAGTCTGAAAATACTTTACAAACAATGTGAATTTCAGAGAAACAATGATTTTAATAATCTTTGCAAAATTTATTGTGATTTTTGTTACATGTTCAATTTGTTTCACAGAAAATGAAGAAAATACTTATTTCACTATGATATAATAATGTATTACAAGTGTACATAGATTTAACAATTAAAATCAATTTACATTAAGAACACAAAATTAATTAACAGGATAATTTGGAGAGTAACCAATTAAATATATGTAAAAAGTGGGAAAATTGAAAATAAAAAATATCTAGTATCCCTGTGGTATCTAGTGGAATTTTTAAATTACCTCAATCTATTTGTTTAAAAAATATTCATATTCTTGAAAATAAAACTAATATTATTAAATATTTCCTCTTCAGTGGGACAGTCTTTTCTTGTAACATAGCTTGCTATATACAAAAGTGACATTTTAATATCTTTAGTGTTGCTAGTTTCAAGGTTTTGTAAGTTTTCAAATGTTTGGCATCCCATTTCATCCAGCAAATATCCACATTTTGAGCAATTATAGCTTGGATCAAAGTTGTATTCTTTGACATCAATGTTTAAGAAGTAGTTTTAATTTTTTAATTATTGAAATTTTTCAATAACAATTTGAACTGTTATACAGTATGCACATCCAAAATTTTGTCTTAATTTTCCAAATTCATTTTCTAAATCGTCTGTAGTATATTTACCAAGCATAATAAAATTAAACCCATGACTTACTCTATAAACATCAATTAAACCATTGTATGTATGTTAAATGGTTAGACTAGTATCTCTTATTAATTATTTCATTCTTTTTCCTTGATTTCTTCCCATTCTTTTTGTCATTTTTCCAAAATTAGAAAGAAATAACAGATGTTCATCATCTAAATCTGATATCACCTTTTTTCAGTGGATCATTTTTTAGTGTCACCATATATTTCTTTGATAGACAATTTTCCACAAATTTTAAACCTTTTTCAATGAAATTAACTGTTTCTTCAGTATCCTCTCATTTAATAATGGGTCTGTTTTAATGGCAGCTACAGTTTGATCACAAAATCTTTTAAACAATGGGAAACATTTTGTCACTCAACAGATTTTGGGTAAACTGCTACATTAGTTAGGTTCAACAGCTTAACAAATTATGTTTTTCATACTCAAAAAGACCTTTTACAATTTCCCATTTTGCTGTCATCTTTTTACCTTCAGAATAAAAGGGTAATTCAGAAGTAGGTTCAGTAATCCAATTATTCTGAATGTTTTTAAAAAGGTGGACATAATCAAAAAGTAAGTAAAAGTTATTTTTAGCTATGAAAGGCCTATTAAAAACAATGTCAAGTTTTTGGAAAAAAAGATTGATGCATCCTGTTATTGTTACATTCAATTGCAAATTGCAATCAGTAAATGTTTGATTCCATCAACCATATATAAATTTTTTTCATATAAAATGTTGCATCTAATTTTACAACTGAAGTAAAATTTTTGTCCACCATTTAAACATTTTACCATGATACCCAATACAGTTTTTGCTGATCCCTCAAAATTTTCAGCCAAACCAAATAAGTTTCCTCCATGATGTTGTAGAGCAAATCTGACATACACTTCCTCATCTCCAGCTTACTTCAGAATTGTGCTTGTCAAACTCTCTGCCTTCAGGCAAAAAGGAACCCAGACAAGGCTGTGCTGAAAGACAGAGTCTCATCTGAGGTGATAGACAGCTACCCAACCCCATGTTTACGGGATCTATGGGGAATTTTTGACCGAGCATACGGACTCGGATACCCCACATTAAACTTGGCCTTGTGCTACATCCGACATTGTAGGGTGGTAAGTGAATATCTCACTTCCTCATCTAAAAGAATACATTTTTCTGATTTAAAAATCATCCTGAAGTCTGTTATATAATGACTGAAATATAACAAAATATTCAAATGTCTTGATGAGAATATCAGAATCATAATGTTTTGTCCCAATTCTTTGTGATGACATAATATGCTTTATTAAAATTTTTTCTAATCAATTTTTAATTTACTTAGATAACAAATTGCTTCACTGATTTGTGACCAGTGCTGAAACATTGATATTCGACTTTTTGAAAGAGAAAAAATTGTTACATATATACCAGCATAACAACATTAAAATCTCAAGTTTTCCAAAATTTTAATTAACAACATTGGAATGCTTTCAGTGAAAGAAATCAGTAGATTTGATGTTGATCAATATTCTGATACAATTTTTCAAAAGTGAGGATTTTGTACTTTTCTAGAAACTGTGCCAACTCATCATTTTGCACATTTCGCATAGAAGCAGAAGTTTTATTTGTTGGTTTTGGTTGAGGACTAGGTAATACACTCATGGCAAATGATCAAATATTGATGGTGGATTTATGGGTCTCACTTTTCTTGTAATGACAACTGTTTCATAATCAGATAGAAAATGCCTTTCACAAACGAGAGTGGTGATGTCCAACGTATTGCCTCTAACCATCTCTCTCACTCATTCTGATCTTGAGGAAAACAAAATACACAAAGCTTATTTTGTCAGTTACCACGACAACCTCCTACACAGCACTTTTTGATCATTTTGAGAAAGATTTGGGGGAACTGAAATTAAAAATTATTAACTAAGCTATTATTTTGTAAAAATTGTATGAACTTTATATTCTAAGGTCTGGAGAGTTTAGGGTTCAGAATTAAGAATTTAAAAGTTTGTATGTGGGAATTTTTCATATGTTACTTTCCATTGTCTTTTACATAGTTCCAAAGGATTTCCAAATTTTTTCACTAGTCAGACTGCATTTTATGTTGAAGCTACATAAAAAACTGAACCTCCTTCATTAATTTTTTTTTTTGGTGGGGGGGATAATTGTACTTTATGGGGTGGATGCAGATTTTCTAAACAAAATTAACCAGTTTAATATTTTTACAGTATATTTTTTTTAAAATAATTTCAATTAACTGGATAATTTTGTTTTGCATTATTAACAACACTAGTAAAATTCAACATACATTTTTTTTAAATAATAAATAAATAAATATTTTTTTAAATCAATATATTTGTTATGAAAAATAGTATCATAGAAAAAATGTTACATTAAATTTTTATTCAAATTTTTTCAAATGTGCAAATTTTTATAATTTTGGAAAATTAGTAGTGCAAAAAGTTACATTCATTTTTGAGTTTTCTTACAAGGACAATATCAACATTATTTCACATATGATAAAAAACATGAATTATTCCTTAAAAAATGAATTTTATCAAGATATTCATTATTATGAAGAATAATAGCACAAAGAAAATAATTAAATTTACTTTTTGTGAGTAAATTTTTAATAATGATGTTTTTTTGCAAATTTTGCTGTTTAAAATAATTGCAAGACATGTAAAAAAAGAGAAAGACGGTATTGACAAGACAAAGAATATCTTCTCTTTATTTTTGTCATATATTTTTAAGAATAGTTGTAAAATATTAATAAATTTATTGAATTTAATTTTTGACATTAACTTTGTGATAAATTCTTTAATAAGTGTCATTTTTCATTAATTTCACAATGAAAATAATTACGTATTTAATATCTTCTTTTATTTACGAAGGACAGAAAAATTCAACATACTTTTTAAAAAAAATATGTTTGTTCTGTTAAAGAAAAACATAAATTATTCATAAAAAATAATTTTATACTTAATATGTTCATTGTTGAAGAATAATAGCATCGAGAAAAATATTAAATTCAAATTAACTTTATGAGTTCTTAATGACACTTTTGTGAATTTCACACCGAAAAAGTTTAAAGATAAAATATGCAAGTTCAAGTAAAGTAAATAAAGCATTATACTTACTTCAGTATCTTAAATAATGAACTTTAATCCAAAGGTGAAAAGTAAATATTTCTTTAAAAAAGATTAATTTCTTAATCCAATTGCACCAATGAACTTTCACATGTTCAATGTTTGTCCCCAGTCACTTACAGGTCAACATGGTATTGAGGCCTGAGTTATGGAGCACCTAGTTTAATTTCTTTTTTTTTTCACATGTAAAAAAGTTCTCATTTTTTTAATAAAACATATTTTTCTTTGTAGTCTTGACTTTCTAAAAAATATCCATTATTTAATTTTAAAAAAATGATGCTGCAAAAGTAGATTGAATGAATATTTTACAAGCATCCAAATACTTTATACCCACACTGTACAGAAATGTGTGTGCTGTCCTTAGTTCAAGTGTAAATCTCAATAGAAGGAAATATTTTTGTGCCAATATATTAGACTGAAGACTGGCATATTGTCAACAGAATCTTTTAGGGGCTAAGAGAAAAACTAAAACTGAAAGAGGGAAGAAAATAAAAAAAATGTCTGTGTTACTCAGGACTTAAATGATTTTCTCTGTCAACTTTAGGAGCCAGTGTCATTCACTCCTGAAGGACACTAAAATATGATGAAGATGCAACCTTACCCTAGCATTGTATGGAAGTATATAAAACAAGGGTCTTAAAAGCCTTCACTTATCTACTTAACTAAATATTAGTAACACCAATAACAGTTATTCTTCAATTTCTGATTGTATCTAGGAAAGTTTCATGTCACACCTGAGATCTGAAAATGAAAGTCTCAAAAGCGAAAAGGATCAACTACAAATTTCAGTCAGTCATCATCAGACGTAAGTATAAACTAAATTTTGTCAATTTTTCTTTTAGAATCCTAATATTAAGGTAAAATGATTGTACAAAACCCTGTTGTCATATGATAAAGAAGAGAGTTGCTGGTAATGGTCATGAATGATATTAAGACAAAAGAAAAAAAAGGATGCACAAGACAAATAACTGCTATTTAAGGAATAGGAATGCAACAATTAATAAGATATTAAATCAAAAGAAAAAAAGATTAACACAATACAATTAATTACTTTCCGAATTAAATAAAAATGAACAAATTTCGGCTACCAAATTAACCTTTGTGAAGAGACTTGAAGCAACAGAAATGTGGTTCTACAGAAGGATGTGGTGAATGTCATGAACCAGACATGTGAACAATGACAGAATTTTAGAGAAACCATAAGCAAAAGAGACACTTAGAAGCAGGAAGGGACAGTTAAAATTTATAGGGCACATAATGAGAAAAGCGGGCTTGGAGAATTTTATACTCACAGGGAAGATTAAAGGCAAGAAGGACAGAGGAAAACCATACATAACCTACCTTGTGAGCATGAGTAAATGGATAGCAGGACAGGGTTTAGGAGAGATAAGAAAAAAGCAAAATTTATTAAGAGTCACAAAAGACAGGAAATTGGGGAGAGCTATGATCAGCAACATCTTAAAGGGACATTTAGTGGGAATAATAACTTACTGGTTCAGCAGAGGAAGAGAACCTGGTTATGTTTTGCCTGCTGGGAACAAACTCACATCCTTCAGAGTGCAGAAAACATGGTTTAAGCGTGATGTGGGACATATGGTTTGATTCAGGCAACCAGATGTGGTCAAGACATGTAAGGAATGTTAGTCCATTGACCCACACCCAGTATGGTAGCTGACAGTAGGTGGAAGGTGACGGCAGGCATTATTTGACACTCATTGACTGTGGCCCCACCCGATTCACAATCTGGTGATTCCTTCAGAGGCAGGATACAGAAAGTATTAAGATCTGTGTTCTGTGAACGAGGACCAACAGAATTACTGACATACAATGACACTGCATTTTGCAGTAAATCATTTAAGAGGTTCCTGGAGAAATAGTGTTAAATACACTTCCAATGTGCTTATGTACTCTCTGGCAACGTTATCATTGAGCAATGCTGCTGAGCCATTAAACAAATAGCAGTCAGAAAATGATATACCATAATGGAGGCAGTGTACTGACACAATACCGCACCAAGGGATGATGAGACATCCCAGTCAACACCAGCCAATATGATTCATGTGTATCAAGTCCAACTAAAAGGGATCGACTGCACGTATCCATGTATCCATCCATCCAAGAAGTTTGTGCACTGTATGAATTGGGGGATTTTGTCTGGATGAAACCCTTCAATAGTTGATGTACCACCAGCTAGAAGAAGGGGTGTGTCACTGGCATTATCAGCCACACTCTGTCATGGTCAACAGAACTCCATGCTGTCCTTGACACAACTCCACCAATGAGTGACAACAGTGATGCATCATCTGAGAGCAAATTTAATTTTTATACTACACCAGTGTGAATCCAAGAGCCTGACTACCAAGATGAACACTGCAGATGCCTCTTCTGAAGAAGAGGTTGAGCCTGTCCCTCTTTGGAGAGGAGTGCTTACAACAAGAGGCCACCTCCACCATGCAGTTTGTGTAATGATAATGAGATCAGGGGTAAGTGTAGCAGTAATAATAACTTACCGATTCAGCAGAGGAAAAGAACCTAGTTGTGTCTTTTGCCTCCCCTGATCGAACTCACATTCTTCGGAATGCAGAAAACAGTTTAAGTGTGATGTTGGACATATGGTTTGATTCAGGTGTCCAGATGTACAAAATGATGTGTGGGCTCTGAGGTAGATAAATAGACAGGCCAATAGACAGTGGGAGGAAGGTATCTAGTGTGGCAGATTGCAGTGTCGGAAGTCATGAGTCACGGATTTGAAATAGATTCCCTGCGTCAATCCCCACAAGAGAGAAGGTACCAGTGTTATTGTTACCGACAAGAACACAAGTTATTTTGGTATTTGATGGACGATGGCAGATGGTAAATTTGATTGAAAGCTCATTCTAGAATTAGATGGTTCTACCCCAATTGTATCATGGGGTTGAGAGGGTGGAATTAATTTGCCCTTTGAATGGGGCGAAGAGAGTGTAATACATCATTTCATCAGACCAGCTGGAGACGCATTTGATGTGTACCAACAGGTGGAGGAGCCTGAAAAAGAGGAGTCCACAAAAATAAAGGCCATGATTTTCTAGGCCTTTGCCCTCTCCCCCCTCCCTCGAAGCCTATGAACACTTCACGGAATTGATGCTACGCCTGGGAGAAACAATAGCTGTTTACACTGCAGCATTACAAAAGCTGGTACAATTGTTTGGAGGACTGCCTGAGAGAATGATGGTATATGCATTCCTGGCTGGCCTTCCACTGTGTGTTAAGAAGTTGTTATGAGTGAACTCAAGCATAGACACATTGCCACTGAACCAGTTGTTGGACTACACCCAAACCCATTATAAGGAAGAGATGGTCATAACGGCCGCACAGTCTACTACTAGGACCAACACAGGGATGACCTGTTATAGATACCAAGGCCATTTGACCAGAGAATGCAATAGGTGAAGAGTGCATATATGCTGCCACTGGTGCAATAAGGAGGAACATTGCTCAGGAAACAAGGCCAGGGACAAAGACATCAACATCAGTCTCTTCCCAAAACATTTAGATGAGACGCTGCCTGTCAGTTATGTATATGTCAACAGATCACTGCATTTGGCACTCCTTGACTCAGGCTCTTCCCAGCCTGTAGCAAAAGATTGTGTAGCACCTGAATGAGGAAGAGAGTTCTGGCAACCACAATAAATGGTGAGACTCTCGCATGTTGTGGCATTGGGACAGTTGCGATCACTACAGAGTCCAGAAACTCTAATGAAGTAGATGCGGTGTTATTATTACCAACTAGAACACAGGATGCAGCACATAGATGAATATAAAGCTTTTTAAAGTAGGCCTTCAAGAAGTAAACATCAGTCACTTAGATTTTTTTATTCCATCTTTTCAGATTAAAATTGCGATAACCAGATAGTGTTGGTAAAATTTTTAGTATTTACTTATATGTTAAATATACCATTTCAGTTTATACTATTCATTTTTATTTAAGAAAAAAATTTTAATCATTTCAACCCGAGCAAGGTGATAATGCCACTAAGATGCAAGGGTTACTCGGAGTGAAAGTGAATGAAAAGATTTTTAGTGAGGAGAAAGAACAGTAAAACAACAGGATTCAGAAAGACAGAAGATATTGTCGATTGATTTTGCATGAGTTAAGTGACTGCAACAAACTCAGCTGGATTTATTTTGTTGCTCTGATGAGAGAGAACTGATAAACTGGTTTAGCAATAGCAGAACATTTGATTAAAAGCTAGCAATGTACCCTGCCTTATAGCCCAGACAGTGCCAAATAGGGCTAATACCAATCATTGCTTGAAAATTTGGAATCAGTGTACATTAAGTCCTACCAGCCATCTCTCTGTAAGTGAAAGGAGTGGTTGGTGGGTTTAAGGGTAATTAGCCTTTAATATTATATAACAATAGCTGAACATTTAAAGTCAATTTGTTCAGTGTCCAGTGAGGAAAAAAATAATTTATTTTACACAAAAATATTTATTTTTAAACAAAATCCTATTTCTTGCCAATACTCTTTATTCAATGGTGAATACTAGTTACATAGATCAAATATAAACAGTGAAGATTTCATATCATAATTTAGCTAATAATTCATAGAATAATTTAACAGCAACATTGAAAGTTTAAAGAACTTGCTGTGTGCAGTTTGCAAGCAAAAATCTTTGCAGTAAAAATGAAATTTTCTTATTTGTTTATGAAACTTACAGTTTCTTCTATTCGCCACTTTCTTATGAGAAAATAATTTTCAGAAAGACAGACACAAATGATTGTCACCAAGTTTCAAATCTGTACATACAATATCCTTGTCAAAAATTCATTGAAAGCCATATTTAGAAAACTGCAAAAAATACTATGAAATTTCAAGATACTCTGATTTTAAAACTATTAATATCAAATATTTGAGAGTTAAAAATAAATTTAATCACAGAACACCTGTGAATTTTCTCAGATTTTCTCATCACCATTTTCTTTTTAACAATTACTTTCAGCATGCCTCTACTTTATATTATGTGGAAGTTTTGTACTGTTAAGAAATTATGTAAATTCCAGCCTTCTCTAAGAAAGTAAATGAAATTGTTTCTAAAAAAAAAACTTTAAAAAATGATATCTGTTGACTTTCTCTCTTCAGTTCCAAATTTTATTTTGAAGTAAAAAAATGTTGGGAAAAAATGCTGCTGCTTTAAAATTGACACCTATAAATTTATAGATGTTTGTAGATTAAAAAAAAATAAAAAAGCAATGTTAAAGTTTTCCCAAAAGCAAGTCTTCCTTATGAAAAATATTCATCTAATGTTTTGTCTGCTTCATTCCATTTTGTCACATGGAGCAAACATATTTCAGTGAGATTAAAACTTGAACATAGGATCATATTTCTATCCAATGAATTACAAAGTGTTTTCGATAAACATCAATAAACATGCCCACAATGAGACATAGTGTCGAAAGGACAGTTTTTTCCCATGGCATCGTTTTCTTAGCTACCTTCACTCCTCAGCAATGTTTATTGTTTTAAAAAGAAATAATTAGAATTGAAATAAAACCTAAACACATGATGAAAGTGAATTTAAACATTTTTTCTTGAGAATTTACAACAGAAATATTAAACACTATTTATTAGATGGTTTATTTACAAGAATAATTTTATATTTACAACATTCTAAAAACTAATCTGATCAGAACTAATGTCATGCAATATTTGTCATTTACCAAATTATAAAGAAACAAATGTGAAAACAATTTTTTATTCACAAATTTATAAACATTTAATAAATTATTAAAATATGTGAACGAAATCCTTATTATTTACCATTTTATAAAGTTTGAATCATTTGGCAGTTAGCCGATGTTTCGCCAACCATTCCAATAAACGCTATAATAAATAAATAATGTAAATACACAATCTAATAAATAAATAATAGTGTTTATTATTTTTGCTGTTAATTCTCAAAAACAAAGAAAATGTATAAATTCACTTTATCCAGATTAAGTCCATAGATCAGTTGACAAAAAACACAGTAACAATCAGAATTCAAAAGCAAAGATAAATATAAATCAAGAAAAAATAACAAAACAAAATAAAAGATAGACTAAGAAATTAAATACAAAAATATTTTTTAGGGAATTATTTGGTACTAATTGCAAAATTATTAGTGTATTTTTTTTTTACTTAAATATAATAATTCAGTACTATTTTGGCTTTCCTCTTTATTTTCAAAGTAACCTTTGCCTATCATTAATTCATGATTTAGAACCCTCTGTTTTCTTTTTTATTTATTTTTTCTCCTTGACAGATCAATGCGAGATATGGCAAAAAAGCTAAAAGAAGTTGAAGGTAAGTAAAACAAATACTTTTGGTTTGAAAAACAAAATAGTTGCAATTTTGATTTTTTTCTTTGTTTTATGATAATGAAAAGAAATATTGGATGCTGGCAGGGGGAAATTCCTCAATTATTTGTGTAGAATGGGAAACATTCATATTTTTATTCACTTACAAAAACTTATCCATTACTGGTTGGATTAGAAAAATTACAATGTATTAAAAAAATTGTGTCTAATTTTTAATAGACACTTAAATGTGGTAACAGTTCAAAAATCAAACATGAATACAAATGCTATAAACACATGTGATGTCCATACATTCAATCAAACTAAAACAATGTAGAATTTAAAAATTGTAATGTAACTGCATATTAACTTCCAAAAAATTTCTGAAGAAGCTAAATTAAATATTGAAACATGTTAATTTTTTTCAGATTTACTCCACACTTTCAACCAGAAATTATAATCCCATTATAAAAATGACAGACTTCTTGTTCAATATGGTGTTTTGCAATTAGATTATAATGTATGTTAGTGAATTGTAAATCTATTTCTAAAATGTTTTATTTCATGCTTGATAACACTGGTCAACACGATTTTTGGTGCCAAGAAACAAAACACATTTTTTAACTAATTTGATGGTGCTGATTCCAAAAATGACTTTAGTTTTTCATAGCTACCATTTTTACTGTACTGAAATTGCTCATTTTTGGGAAAAAAAAGATCTATTTACAATCTTGACAGATCACAAAATTTAGTTAATGAAGGTTGTAGAAACCCATCAATTTTCAGGTAGGCCAAGCAATTTATATCAGCCACCTGAAATAAACTATTTTTATAAGAACATGTTTTTGAGTCAAAAATTTTAAAATAGAAGTACCAAATTCTTTTCAAAATTATCACCAAAATTCAAATTATCAGTAATACAGTTTAGTAAACCTGATAATTAAGGTGACATCAAAAAAATGAAATCCTAAAATCTTCTGTTTGATATTCATAAATTTATCCCATCACTTTTATCACCACAGAAGGAAACCAAGCACATTGAGAGCATTTTGTTTTCACAACTGGAAAGAAACTCCAACTAAAGACGTCCCAATTGAATGCACCTATTCCATTGTACATGTTATTACTAGAATATCAAAAGACCAAATTAAATAACATTGAAAATGACAGACAAGATATAGAAAATATTTACCATAGTTCTTATGTTCACAAAGGTTTTATTCCTGGTGTTAGTTTATTAAATGATTTTATGAAAATACTTGGTCTTGGTATATTCAATTATGTTATTTTCAAAGACTTAAGGCCTGATTGTTATTGCAAAAATAGTATTTCTCAATAAGCAGACCAATATTTGTTGGTTTAAATACAAATTGAGAGGTTTCTACGATTTTATTTTGAGAAATCTTGCCATCAGTCAATATTATATATACAGAAAACAAATGAAAAAAATGCTTTTTTTTTTCCAAAAGTGAGGCATTTTTGTACAGCAAAAATGGTATCTATCCAAGAAAAATTAAGGTTATTTTCAGATTCAGTGCCCTCAAATTAGCTAAAAACAAAGTTTGGTATTCAACACCATTTTGCAAATTTTTTTGTTGACTAGTGTAATCAAATGAGTTCAATTTCATAGATTTGTTGGCATCCATCAACTATAAAATGAGTTGTGAATTAGATGCTTTTCTGTAATTCTAATGCTGACAAGCTGTTCTTTCCCTCAACCTTTTGTTGCAGGGTTTTCTTAGTATTATTAACCAGAACTTTATAACAACCATGGACTGAATATGTAAATAATAACAAAGTTCAAAAGAAAATAGAAACAAAAAAGATGTTTATACGTAAAATCAGAAAGAGATAGCTGAAATTTCGAGGACACTTAATGAGGAAAGAGGGCTGAGAGAATTTGACACTCACTGGACATAGTGAAGGCAAGAGAGAAACGACTAACCTACCTAGCAAGCATGTGTAAATGGATGACAGAACAGGCACTAGGAGGGATGATGAAAAGGCAAACCTTGCTAAGATCTACAAAGGATAGGAAGTTGTGAAGAGCCATGATCACCTATGTCCTGAAGGGACACAGCACATAGAAGACTGAAAACAAACATAGCCATGGCAGCTTTCTTATTGAAGACTTTTTCAAGATATTCCCACTGAGTAACTGAAAAGAAGAATGTGAAGACCTTCTTTGTTAAGGTCTTTGGTAATTAATCCCATTTTTCTGAAAAGGTCTTTGCTTTTTTTGATCCATTTTGATGATTCTTCATTCTCCTGGTTGAATTTCTTCATTCCTCGGGTTCTACTGTGAGGCTAAAGTCTAAAAGCAGAAGCAGGCCTCCTACTTGCAGATTATTATCACAAAAGTGGAGTTATTTTGACCTTTCAACCAGACACAGTGGCATATTGGAATAACCGTGAATATCTTGAACCAGGGTTTTATTTATTTAAAAATCTTTTTTAGGTGTTGCATTCATAAATGTATTATGACCTTACAGACTGACAATATGGATAAAGTATGCAGTTTTCACTTGGGCTATTTACAAAACATAATTTATCCAAGAATAATATTTTAGACAACTGAATTTCTTCTGATGGTAATTTACTACTGCATTTAGTCTCTGTTAGCAATTCTGGAAGAAAAAATTCCTCCATTCTATTCATGTCTAACTAAAAAAACAGTGTGTCAAAAGACAGTTATTCCCTTGACACCACTATTACTGAATACACTGTTGACTCCCTCAGTAATGTTTATTGTTTTAAAAAGTGGTTATTAGAATTTAAATAAAACCTACACATGAAAATGGATTTATACATTTTCTTTATTCTTGAGAACTGACAACAAAGATTTTAAACACTTTTTATTTATTAGATTGCTTATTTACAAGAATAATTTTATATTTACAAGTTTATCAAAATATATGAACCAACTATAAAGAAATATTTACTATACCATTTTATAAAAACATAAATATGAAAAGGAATTTTTGTATTCATGTTGTATCCTTAAAGAGGTTACAAAGGTGATACTTAAGTGAAGGAACAGCAACATGTGCATAGATGAAAGAAGAGAGGTTTATTGAGAGAATACACTACCGAAAGACAGAGTATCAGGTGGCAGGCTAGTAATTCCCAAAGCAAGCTCCCAGGTATATCCTGTGCTATATAGAGGTACTGATATAGTCAATCCACATAGGCGATAGGGAGTGTGGGACATTTCATTACAAAAATTCATAAATTTTTAAAAATGACTATGAAAAAGGAAATTTAAATAAACACATAGTGAGCAACTGTAATTATAAGTTTTGAAATTTCCAGACATGTTTCATATACCTCCACCACAGAAATTCCCTAAACTAGGTTAAGGGCATCTGTTCCTCTGAACCAAACATTCTTTTAATTTATGTTCATCATATGTTTATTCAAATTTTCTTGTTTTACATTTATTTATAAAATGGTAAATAATAAATATTGAAGTGTAGTTGGTTTACATATTTTAACAATCGGTTTACGGCTATATCACATTGAAACTCTAGTTCCTATATGATCACCAAAGTTAAGCAACAGCAAGCTTGGTCAATACCTAAATGGATGATCACTTAGGAATACCAGGTGCTGTAAGCTTGGATGTGTGGGTGATGTAATGAATAATGATACAGAGTTCCAATTCCACTCAAGTTCGTTATATTCACTTGCACACAAATTCCCTTGGTAAAATTATGAATCCACCTTTTCTCCTCTCCATCTATGGGTTAATTAATTATCTCAAAAAAAATTCTTACAATCTAAAAAATGTTTCCTGGCTTTAAAGAACCTGCAAAAGTTAATAAGCTGTAGAAAACAAAACAATCAAATGTTTTGATGATTTTGTAAATTTTTTATAAATTTTTGAATAAAAAATATTGAATAAAAATATTTCTTTTCAAATTTTATTTCTTTATAAAATGCTAAATAATAAATGTTTATAAAAGGTAAATAATATTGCATTGTACTTGGTTCGCATATTTTTATAATTTTATAATCTTAAACACTGCTGAGCCAGTAAAAAGGGTATACAGTAATAGCAATGTCAAGGGAATAACCCACTTTTTGACATTGTTTTTTTATGGCCATGAAGGTTAGACATTACCAAAGTGCCAATCAGAATGAGTCTTTTTATCAATACAGTTTTAAAGTTCTCTTTATTCTAAAGGCCAAGTTAAAGGAAAGTTCTTTTTCCTGTGAGGCCAAAGAAAAAAGATAATCGGTCAGCATCATTATTAACATTGTTCATTGTAAATAAAAAAAAATGAAAATCTTTTTGCTTATTGCTTGTAGACCTGAAAACAAACTTTGAGAAGCAACTGTCACAGATGCAGCAGGATCTGAACCTTCATCAAGACCAAGAGGCAACATTGAAGAGAGATCTTCATGTAAGTCAAAACAGAAATGAGGAATATATATTCAGACACTCAGACAATAATCAGCCAGGCAGTATATAAATAATTTGCAAAACAAAATTCCAAATTTAAAATAAATCTAAGAAAAAAATATTTAACATTACTGATGCTGAATTTTTTCCGTCTTTTCTTCCAGAATTACCTAAAATCAAAATATAGAATCTGTTTATTTAATTTTTGAAGATTGTAAAATTTCCAGTTGAAACATGGATGTACAGGTGGTGCAATGGATAATGGTCTGGAATGAAAAACCGGAGAGCCAAGTTCAAATTCCAGTTGGGTTTGTAACATTCACTTATGCGCAAATACCCTTGGGGGAAAAGTATGAATCTATTTCCTCCTTCCCCTACATCTATGGGTTAAATAGCAGGACATATCTGGAAAAATCATTGTTGTTCTCAAAACATAATGTTAATGCAATATTGTATCACAATAAAAAAAGTATTTTTACAATCCAAAATATATTTTGGATTTAAATAACTAGAAAAGGGTTGATAAGCCATAAAAAGCAATCCAATCAAACAATCCAGTTGAAAAAGTTTATTGGTATTGAGTGGTTTGTTTTATATGGTTTATCAACCTTTTACAGGTTTTTTAAAGCAAGAAAATATTTTTAAAGATTTTTTTAAAAAACTTTTTGGAGATAATGATGAATTACTGATACATTTAACCCAAAGCTACGGGTAGAAGAGCTGGATTCATACCTTTCTCAAATAAGTGAATATAACGAACCTGACTGGAATTGCAACTCAGCTCTCCAATGTCCAATTCCAAGCCATTATCCATTACACCACCTGTGCATTCAAACTTACATCATCTAGTGTTCCCAAGAGGTCACTCATCCAGGTTCAGTGTTTCTTAACTTCATATAAGAACCAATATTTCAACATGATATGGCCATTAGCTCAGATTACTTGAAATAAGTCTTCAGAATAAATGACATTTTCCCTTCTCATTATATCACTGATTTCTTGCAGTTGCTGTGTTTGCAAATAATGTAATTAACAATATTTCTATATGTAACTTTTATACTTAATTACTATGCATAATGTCAGTTGTTGATGAATCCTTGTCACATATGCTTGAATCAGACATTGTAATTAACATTTTTATCTTCAACTATTTTATCAATATTCTATATTCAATATTCTATTCATGCTGTCATATGTTTAAAATCAAGTTATAAATTAATTATAATCTTAGCCAAATATTTTGTATTTGTCTCTATTTGATATGAACTGTTCTATATTGAACTCAGACCAATTCCATTCAATTTAGTCCATGGGACTCATAAAAAGAACTCTTTTTTTACAACTCTTGACAGCACTCAAAACTTTCTCTCAAAATAGAATCTTACATTTTACTCATTCTATTTATTTTTTCTATACAAAACAAATTCTTGTCAATTAATATGAAATTTTAATGTCAATACTTTCTTTATAAGAACAATATTTCCTGGGTAAGTTTATTGAAACTTTTGCCCTATTAGAAAATTGTCCAAAATAATTGTACATAAGAGAATTTTAAAAGCGAAATGATAAAAATAATTCAGAAAAATATATATATATATATATATATATATATATATATATATATATATATATATATATAATATCATTTTTCATTTTTGGACTTTATGAAAAAAGGGATTCATATTTGTTTATTTACAAGAGTTACATGTAAACACAAATAAATTGGTTAGCAAAGCAATAAAAGCTACAAAGAAGTCAGGGTGGGGAGGTAGTCTTATATAGGGTATGACAGATATACCCCCCACACACACACACATATAATGGTATGACATTAGGTATATGTAGACACCATTGCCGCTAATGTCTTAGGCATATTACAGTGTATTTGATGAAGATGAATATGATTTGCTCTTGATGTGTCTGAGCCATTTCCAGTCATAATATCTTGCATAAACATGAAAATATTAGCAAAAATATTTGTTGTGCATCAGCAGTTCCATCAGCGGGTAGGGTTAGGTTAGGGTTAAGATTCCAGGTTCTACACTCAGGATTGTCCTGCAGGACAATAGACTAGTGAAATTTAGTAACATAATAATTGTGAGTTTCATCTCTGGGCTGGGCAGTGTGTACTTGAACTCATTGGAAACAAAGTGAACAGTAATTGATTAGTATTAAATAAGAACTACACATGAGATCCTTAGACAGGGTCAACCCATAGGTTAAATAAAGAGTTCAGTTTGAAATTCCCTGAAGGATACCCAGATCAACAAACACCTGATAAAGGCTAGAGAAACAGCCAAAACTTTGTGACAATAACAACAAAGATGAGGACAATAGTGTATAAATCAGTGGTTCCCAACCTCTTTTTGGCCATGCCCCGACTGATATAAAATTCTCATTGATCAGAAAGTGAACTTCTATTCATGTGAAGGAAGCCTAAAAAGGCCATTAACTTAACTGTACTTAAGAACTTGAGACTGCATATATGTAATATTATTATCATTTAATTTTAGTATGAACACTCATATCCAATGATGTCTGTCTACTAGGGTGGCTAGTTAATCTTTGTTGCAGACATCTGCTCAGGCACATTATGCAACACCCACAGAGCCCACCTGTGGTTTATATGCTGAGCTGTGATTGCACCCACTTCCAGATCGATAACATCAAGAAATCACATTCCTGACATGATTTGTTGAGATTCAAACCAGGGTAAATTGGGCCCTCCTGACAGCACATTACAGATATTCTTAATGTTGACAGTTAGACTTGAAAATTGTATTGTATATGCACCGTATGTATTAACTCATGCACACTCATAGTCATGAAAAAAAAAAATTCACTGATAAGAACTCATTCTTGAATTGTCCTGGTTCCCCCCTTAAAAATCACAGGAATCATGGATATAAATAATGTAAATATTTCTTTTGTGCTGATTGATATTTTAATGTTTTTTATTTTTCTAAAAACCAATGAGAACAATAATAAATTTAACCATATTTGTATTTCAGTCAACCAACCAATATTGACACATTTTTTTAAATTACTTTCATTCTATAACATTTCATTTGATTTACTTTCCCTGTTCTTCTTAATTTTTGCATTATCTTTCACCAGACAGCATTTGGACGGATCAAATCCCTTGAAGGAACAATTGAAGCAGAACGAGCCTCTCATCTAGAAACTAAATTTAATTCCGAAGTCATTCAGGTCAGTACTGAAATGTTTTGTGAAATACATGGCAACCATCATCAGTGCTGTTTTCAGCTGAGGTTCATTAGGGTTTTTAGACCTTTCAACATCATACTCCTTCTCTACATTGACCCAGTGGATACTTATTGGGTATCGCCTTGTGTGCCATCCATTGGCTGCTATTTTTGCAAATTTGCTATAAAAGAAAAATCCTCCTATCTTGTATCTAATTGTTCTATGAAAGATTAATGAATTGAAAGTTCATTAATCCTGAATAGCATTTTACTTGTAATGAAATTGATTTGGATCATAGTTTCACAGTAAAATATTAAGTTCCAAAAACCTAGGTTAGAGTTTTTTTTTTTTTTATGAAATCCTTAATAATGCCCTAATTAACCTATTTTAAATTTGTTTTGAAATTTCTGCATTCAGAGAAGGTTTTTTCAGATTAGTAAGAGGTGACATTTCTTCGACACAGAATGAAGAAGAAGGGCTTGGAGAGCTTAACCCTCACAGGGTGTATTAAGTGCAGGAAAGATAGGGGAAGACAGCGAGCCATATACCTGTTTTGAATGAATGGCAAAACAGAGGGCAGCAGGCTTGGTAAAGAGAGAAACTGTTCAGGACTACAAGGAATAGGAAATTGTGGAGAGCCATGATCGCTCATATCATGAAGGTATACAGTACATAGAAGATAAATAAAAGCTGACATACACATAAAAGATTTCTCTGTGTAAGGACTATGTTTTGTTTTTTTTCAAGCTTTAAGATTAATTACACTAGGGGCTGCTAAAATGATTTTAGCCTAACCCACTTTTTAAAATCAGCATTCTGATGTTTGGCCTTTGAAATACATGGGGAAGTGACATAGTTGCACTGGTAACATATGCAAAATGCTTTCTTTGTAAAGTTAGAATCATGATGGATTAATAAATGTTTGTACTTTACTTTCCAGACATCTCTTATTAATGTACCTGGGGACATCAGTCTACCCAGATTTTAGGTGGAAAAATAAAATCTGAGTGCCATGTCCACAAATTACAATACAAATCTATGAAATGATCTTTGCAAAAAAGGAGGAAAACCAAGCTAAATATGACAATAACATTTATACAGTAGATACATATTTTACATGTTGAAAAAAATGTTCTTTGTTGCAAGTGATTCTGCAAAGTTTGGAATAATATGTATGCCAGTAGGTGTGTGAAGCACATGCTAATTAAATATGTGTGACTGATTTCATATGATAGCAATAATTTTAAAACACAGAGAACAACGAGAGTTGAGACAAAACTTACTTTGCTATGGCTTTGTATATAGGAAAACTATCGCTGACTGATGTGTTACCATGGAAATGTGTGTCATGGCCAGGCCTGTTTGCTGACTGTTCTGTTTCAGATTTGTCACTGTCTATTCTGTTTCAGGTATGGCCCTTGACTGTCACTAACAAGCTGTTTTTATGACTTATGGCAAGCCGTTGACTGGCTCATGAATTCTATCTGAATTCTGCATGGGAATGTACTAAGTAACCCAAATACTAGCCTACTTCCAGGTCATTTGGAGTTCAACCACAGTTGTCATAGAGAGCACATCACATGATATGTAATATCCAGTCGGATCCCAAAAACCAATTTATTTAATTTTGGAACCGTGTTTTGTAAAGAATTGTTAGGTTTTTCATATCTAATAATTTTAGTAGGATTTATTTGTGTCTCTTACTTGTTTTATGCTTCACTTATTGGCTGTAAAATATGAGTTTACATTCTATATACCCTTCATTTCAGACATATGTTGTAAATATTTGTTCCTTCCTTTTTCATGTATCATCTACAAATGTTTGGACCTTCCTTTTCAGATGTCTCTCATTATTTTATCTTCTTTTAGTTAATGGAAATTATGACAAGAATAATTTAAATAGAATAATACTTTAAAAAATATTTTATCATAAACTTCATCATCACTTAATTCAAAATAACCATTCAAAATTTACTTTTACACTTATTGATACTAATGTGAAATAAGTTACTTAGAATATTTTAATGAAGGGTAGTCACAGTGAGTAAAAAATGTATTTTATTACTAGAATAAAAATGATGCACATATAGAGTTCAGCAAACAACACGAGAACTGGAGCTTAGAATGGTGTCTGATGTGGGGTACTGACTCAAAATTTAACACATTTCACTTTGATGGTCAGCCACAGATGAAAATAAAATACCTTAGAGCAAATGTTAAACACTGATGAGCAATTATCATGGTGTCAGCTTTTATGTGTGGGAAATTGTGTTGATATTAGTCTATCAATAGATCATATAACTAAACTTGAAATATTGTCTAATGTTATATTGTCATACGGCCCAAATCATCTGAGGCAATGTTCAGAATCATATAGCCAAACTCATAAGAATCTACAGTGAAAACAATAATGTTAAAATGTCATGGTTTCCAGTACAAGTTGACTTTTATACAATTTGAGAACTTAAGATCAAAAACTAACATAGACTTCAATGATTTAAGAACTGATCCTTTTAGAAGCAGTACATCATAGTATCAATGACCCATATACATATTGCTGTATTTTGTTTATCATATTTTAAAGTGAGTATGCTTTAAAAGGCAAATAAAACCTTGCTTGATTGTGAAACTCTTCATGGTCGAGCAGTTAAAACTAGACAAAATAAATAGTCTTTAAAATAAAAAATGGAGTATCTACTCAAATACAGTTATCCACTAAAAATGACTAACAATAGATTTTTGTAATAAAATGACCAACACCACACTGCCCTGTTGGCTGTGGCTTCAGAATACGCCTACTACACCTCTGCAGAGGGGTAAGACCCCCCCCTCCCATAATGCCTCCTGTTTGTTGTGGGTGGTGGCCTTTAATGTCTGGAGACAGGATCCTGGTGATTGAGGGATTCAGGAATCAGGATTAGATACTTCTGATTCCCAACACACCACTTTGGCCCTTACTTGGACTAGACAGTCAGCCAGAGAGGCCTGATTTGATCAATAAGCTGGTCATGCCAAGCCCTAGCACCTATGACTATATCAATTTATGGAGTACTTTATAACTAAATACAATAGCAAAATATACAACAGGTTAAAAATCCAATTTATAGGTGTTAGAAGCCAATGGGCGAGAGTCAATTGGTATAAAGATATCTAGACTTAGACATGGCTGTAAACATACCAATATGTACACTTAACATTTGAGAATTGCAACACATGGTTTAACAGGTGCTCGGAGCAACTTCCAATCTGCTTTTAGGAAAAATACAAGCACTATGGGCCACTTATGCCTAGAAACCTTTATAAGGGGAGCCTTCATTAAGAAGAAACATCTCACAGCAGTCTTTTTTGACTTGCAAAAGGCATACAACATAGAAATTTGGTATCTTGAACGACTTACATGAACTGAGCCTAAAAGAAAGGCTGACTCAATTCATGGAGAATTTCCTGGAAGACCGAAAATTTCAAGTCTATATTGGAACTATGCTATTAGAACTGTAAAATCAAAGAACGGGTTCAACATGGAAGCATTCTTTCAGTGGCCCTTTTCTGTGTCAAAATTAATTCCATAGTTAAATCTCTAAGCCCAAGAGTGAGATGCTCCGTATATGTTAACAACTTTCTAATAATTTACAGATCTTGATATATGCATACCATCAAAAGACAATTCCAACAATGCCTCAGTAAAATAGACAGATGGGCCATGGAAAATGGTTCTAACTTTTCCAAAACAAAAAACAAATGCCTACATTTCTACAATTTAAGGAAATTGCACATCAACCCCTGTTTAAAATTAGATGGATCACAAATCCCAGTAGGGGAACAACACAAGTTCCTAGGCATCATCTTTGACAAAAAATTAACATTCATTTCCTATCTAAAATATCTAAAAATAAAATGTAGTAAAATCCTCCAACTTCTGCATGTAGTTATCCATACTGAATGGAGATCAGATTGACAAATATTAATTAAATTATACAGATCACTACTTTCTTAAAACTGGATTACAGTAGTTTCATATATGGGTTGGCCAGAAAATCATACCTAAAAATACTCAGCACAACCTATCATCAAGGCCTCAGAATAGTACTTGGGGGTTTTAGGACATCCCCAGTGGAGGGTTTATACGCAGAAGCTAATTAAACACCTCCACATTTAAGACACACTAAACTGGCACTACAGTACTATGTCAAAAGAAAATCATGCCCAACTATCCCAGCTTACAAGCAATACTTTTAAACCTAATTACTATGGTCTGTCCCTGAAGAAAGATAATACAATACAACCCTATGAACTCAGGATGAAATCCATTGCTGAAGAGTTAGGGACCTCTCTCTCTCTCTCAAACATACAAGAAGTGACTGTAGCCAGTATTCCCATAAACAATCAAGCAACCCAAAGTCTTGCTATAACTAAATAAACTCCTGAAAAATGCATGCACGTACATTCCAGGACAAGTTTCAGGGAATATTGGAAAATACCCTAACCATATATCCATCTATACAGATGGGCCAAAGTGTGAAGACAAGATAGGATGTACAGTCAAAATATTACCAAAAACAATATCTCCCAAAGGGAATTTCTATTTTCACTGCAGAGGCTTATGCAATAGAGCTAGGCTCTCAATATCATTACTCACTATCCATCCTAAAGGCTTTGAAGAAAAAAAAATCCAACAACTCATTATCAAACTATTATGCAAAATGAGCAGCACTACTTGCAAACATAAAGACATGTTGGATTCCTAGCCACATCAGAGTTGAAGATAACAATAAAGCAGACCTAGCAGCAAAATCAGCTTTAGATATGGATGTAGATTCAATGACAAGATCCCATAATTTTAAAGAGATCATTAGCAAAGATATTCAAAAGGAATAGCAACAGTGCTGGGACAATAACCCACACAATATGCTCTTTGCAATTCACCCCAAACTAGGAGAATGGAAGCTGACTTTCAAAAAATCTCAAAAGAAAGTAGTAGTACTGGCCTGCTTACACATTGGCCACATGAAAATAAGCCATTCATACTTGCTAAACAACAAAGGTGAAGCAAAATGCCAAACATGTGAAAGAGCATACACTATTAAACATATATTAACCGAGTGTTCAGTCCTTGCTCTTTTAAGGCAAAAATGCTATAATATAAAGATGTATGAGATCTTTGAGAAAGCAAAAGTGGATGATATAATATCATTTCTTAAATTAGTGGGCATCTACCAAAAATATAAACGAAATGACAATGTCAATAAAATCAAATTCTCTACAAACTGTATATCCAAAAATACATCAATGCAACAAGACTCTTGACAAAAACCCACAGTTTACAAAAATACACCAATGAAACCTGATCTACAAACTGATATCTTACAAAGAATACATATTCTATTCATACAAATCTATTGTAAAAATCTTGTCAGCATTAAATAACCCATTGAGGTGTTGATATGCCATAAAACAAACCAAACCAACAATACATTTTTCATAATAAAATAACCAACAATACATTTATTATCATAAAGTGACAATCGGTACATTTTGAAAAATTAAAGACATGGCAAACATTGTCAAAAAAAATACAATTTGCTATGGTTAATCTCATTTCTTGTAAGGAAAAATAAGTTTTTTGATTTTGTAAGATTATTTGGTTAAAAAAAAAGTGGCGAAGTAATTATAATCTAATCATGACATAATGTCATTCTCTTGAATTATAAATTTTGAATTTTCATATTTAGATTCCCCGTCCCGTGTATGATGATAAACTACATCCATGTCCAGGGTATGACGATAAACTACATCCAACAGCAAGGCCTCTGATCAGGAGGTTTTGAGGAGCATGGAACCACCTCTTAATTGCTGGTGTTCCCAGGTCCACCCTGACCCGGGGTGGTAACACCTGTTAGGGTCCTAGCTATGGGAAAATAGTTAACCCCGAAACTGAGTTAAAAAGCATTATAAAAGTGTGAAAATAGGTTTTAATACCAGAAATACTTTCTAAAAAATTATTACCAGAAATAAATTTTTGAAGAAAAAAGAACTATTACCAGCAATACATTTTTGGAAAAAAATATTACCAACTATACATTTTTGAGGAAAAAAATATTACCAGAAATAGATTTTTGACAAAACAAAATATTACCAGGAAAAAAAAAAGTTGTCAGCATTAAATAATCCATTGAGGTTGATATGCCGTAAAACACAACAAACCAATGAACCGAACCATATTTCGATTCCAGCGGGTTGATATGGTACTAGACAACCAATCAATCAAATAAATTTATTGATTTATTGATATTGCAATTCTCAACCATAGATAAATTTCTTTATAAATCAAAACTTATTATACTCACTTATTGTTATTGGTACAGCAAACCAAGAAAAAAAGAGACCATTTTGTCAATAAGTTTTTGGTTTTTTTAATTTTATTCATTATATCAGTTTGAGTGAACTTCTGAAGATTTTTGACAAATGGTGTGGCAATCATGTTTTCTCTTGAGGAGCTCAAATCAGCACATCACTGGAGCAGGGTGGAAAGATCATCCATCTATAAATATGGCATTGGCTCTCTCTAAATGTATTCTGACCATTTTTGGAATTGAGTTGCTGCACTTCTTTCTTTTTATTCATTTCAACCAAAGCAAGGTGATAAAGCCACTAAGACACAAGAAGTTACAGAAGATGAAAGAAAATAAATTGAAGGAAACTGAGAAAATGTTACTGAGGAGAAAGGACAATAAACATAATGAGATTCAAGGGGATAAAAGATGAAAATTGACATTGCATTTAAATTTTTGAAGATCATAGTTGACAGAGAAGCAAGAAGCCAGAAGAGAGTTCCACAGGGAAGAAGTACAAGAGAAGAAATTATTAGAATAGAATGCAAGTTACATCTCACAATTTCAACAGTGAAATATTAAGACCTAACTGGCATTCTAGTTGTTGTAGCATGCCTACAGGTGATAATGGGTATGCCCTCATTCCTATAAACACAGTAGTGAATACCATATGGGTTGGTCTGTGGTCTGCAGTTGGAGATTCATAGTGGAATTCACTTGACTCACTTCTAGAAGTTGACTACTACTTCTATGTTCTGCTGCCGAATCTTATATGTGTTATTCTTGTCCTAAGTATTATCATTCATTACCAACCTTCGTGTGATTATTCAGTAACCTTCCCTAGGTTACAACACTAGTATTACTCTTAAATTCATGCAGTTGAGGTACCAAAGAGGAAAACCTATCAGAAAAATTGCCATGTGAATATTTATAGAAAAGGCACAGGGAAGCTACATTAAAGTGTTTGAAGCTGAGATGCCTGGTTAGGACTGCTAACATTACAGGTTCTTTTTTGGATTTTCTCAACAATCTCTGGCAAATTAGCTGCGCAGATGAATGGCAAACTTATAAATGTGCAAGATAGCATCTGGTAAGAAAAATTGTCTAGCACAACCCATTGAACCAACTTTCCTAATAGCAGACTTAGCAGTTGATTCAATATAATTATTCCAATTCATTTCAGTGGAAAACAGTAGACCAAGAAGGTGCAGTTACTCCCTTGGAGGTTAGCATAAGCTATTCTGATGGAAGACAAAAAACATTTTGTAAGATGATTAAAAGAGAACAGTTTAGTTTTGGAGGCCTTAAAATATAGATCCTACATCTACAAATATCTGAGAGCTTTGGTTTGGTTTATTTTGTTTTACAGCATATCAACCTCAAAGGGTTATTTAATGCCAACAACATTTTTAAGATAGATTCATATGAATAAAGTATGTATTCTTTGGTTTAGATTGGTTTGGTTTATTTTGTTTTACGGCATATCAACCTCATTGGGTTATTTAATGCTGACAAAAATTTTTATTGCTGGTAATATTTTTTGTCAAAAATCTGTTTCTGGTAATATATTTCCTTCAAAATTTTATTGCTGGTAATATTTTTTTCCAAAAAGTATTGCTGGTAATAGTTAACTATTTGCCCATAGCTGGGACTCTAATAGGTGCTACCACCCCGGGTCAGGGTGGACCTGGGAACACCAGCAATTAAGAGGTGGTTCCATGCTCCTCAAAACCTCCTGATCAGAAGCCTTGCTACTGGACATAGTTTAATGTCTTACCCAGGACGTGGATGTAGTTTAATGTCTTACCCAGAATGCTGAGAGCTTTGGCCAGCCTTGTGATTGCATGGCTCTCCCTAGACTTATTCTGACCCCGTGTGGAATAGATTCCTTGTCAAGTTGCTGCGTTTCAAGCTAGAGAAGGTTCTATATAAGATATGTACTCATCCTATAACTTTTGGCCTGTCAGTGTGTGTGTGTGCATTTGTTACTGAATCAGAATAATTACATCACTGATCTTGTCAGCTGAGGCTCTGACATCTGTTTGAGTCCTGACAAGAAAAAAGACAAAACTAGTTTACATGGCAGCTATAAAAGTTATTACATGAATACATGAAATTGAATATGCTACTAGACTGGCATTTAGGTCCCACCCTTTTACTGTTGAAATAGTTAAATGCAACTGCCACTTCTACTTTTAAAAACAGTTTATTTTCTCACACTTCCCGCCTTCCATTTACTTGCTTCCCTGATAACTACAATCTTCAAAAATTTAAGTGCAACATCAGTTACTATCTTCTTGAATCCTGTTCATCTTTTGTCCTTTCCTCAATCCTCCCTATTCTCAGTCTTCTCTCACTTTGACTCCTTGTAACCTCTTGTGTACTATTGATATTACTGCCTTATTTGGGATGAAATGATTTTTTTTTTTTTAAATTGTGTCAAATGTTTATATTGAATGTTTAGATTTCACCTGAGGTTTTTTATCTTTCTTTGGCTTTGCATTTCAGCCAATGAATGGATCTCAAGTAAAATTGAAATGTCACACATAGTGTAAAATATAAACATGTAAAACTTAAAACTAATTTAAAATGCTTTATAAAACTAGTCTTTAAATGTATTCTTCTTTTATTGTAATTGTAATACTTTTGTCAATACATGTATTGTCATTTGTTTTATATTGTTTTGTGTTACTCATTTATTACTTGGACTCACATTTGAGTCTGCATTAATTACTTTAGAAAAATAATACCAGGAGACACGCATTTTCTATATAAACACAGCAAGCATTCCCATTACAAGATGTATGATTCAATTCATATTTTTCATCTAAGTTGCTCCAAAAAAATCCAGTAAACTGTTAAAATCTTTAAAAAAATATGTTGTCTTTCATAACTTTCAATGGTTTGTCTGAAGTATTTGTTCCAAAATATTCTCTCTGTTTTTCCAGCTTCATGTTCAAGATCTGGAGAAAGCATTAGAAATGGAACAGACAGCAAATAAAGAATCAAAAAAGAATCTGAACCAAGTTAACAAACAACTCAGGTATTATGGAAACCATTTTTTTTTTCTATCTCTTTTAGAAAGTTTCAAAATACTTCAAATTTTCCTCAAATAATTTTGAAATAATTTCCATTTAACAGATTATCAGGATTTATTCTGAATTCTTTGTTTTTCTTTAATTAGTTTCATCCCCCAAACTTTTAAGTATGTGTTGGTAGTATAACATTTGACAGCTGAGACAGAAAAATCTGCAAGCCAAGGTTGAATTCTGTTTGAGATTATCACATTGACTTTTGTACAACTACCTATAGGAAAAGTATGCATCTATCTCGTCTCCCTCCCACAAGTATGAGTTAAATAGCAGGCCAGATTGGTCTACTTAGCCATGGTTGGCAACTATTGGAAAGAACCCTGGTAAGGTGTATGCTATAGAGCCATTGAAAAGATTACAGAGTTCCCAATTAACTGCAGCACAGAGTTGTAAATTCCCTGATATCGACTTAGCTTGAACAGTGTATAGTAGTAGTAATACAGTAAGCTTTTAATATGTTACCACTCATTCAGAAAAGATCTAGGGTAAATCACCAATCATCCCAAAGAGTTCTCAAGTTAAAATTGGTTCTGCCAAATAGAAAGAGGCTTCCAGATGACTATAATAATTGAGTTCTGTATGTTATTATTACTAACACATCACTGAAAGTTGTAAGATGCTTTGTTCACAGGCTGTGTTGACAGTGAAATTATCAACTGTCCTTGAAACACAGGTAAACAAATATTGCCTGAAATGATTCCATCTTTGACATTTAGTGACTGAAATGTTGAATCAAAATATTTCGGAAATGTTGATCATAGATCAAAACAAAAATACTCCATTTTGAAACCAAAAAAAAAAATTACAAAAAATGATTCCTTATATATTATGTCCATTTCTGCTGCAAACCTGTTTGCTGGTTTTGTTAGAATTCAAATCTTGAGAGCTTGATTTCACTTCTGACCCTAGAGCCTTTTGAACGTAAATAGCATCATTGTATTTCTTATATTTCTCCTATAGTTATCATTATTGTGTTTTTTATATATTTATTATTATATTTGTATACAAGCACATATCTCTAAAGAGATAATAAAAAATAAAATTAATGAACAAACAAGGAATATGCTCATGATAAATTTTAGAATTAACTTGACACCAAGCAGTACTAGCATAATGTAATAATATGACTTTCAGCAAACTACATCTCAAGTTTTTATGTTTTATCTCTGTTTATATACATTAACTCAAATTGTGGTTTCTTAAAAATAAAAAAAATTACTAGAATCAGTTTTCTGTTTGAATATCTAGGATCAGATCTTATTTAAATCAGAATAATGTCCTTATCTTTGTTGTTGTTAGCCAGATACTAGTCCTACAGACAGAAAAAAAAACTTTTAATGTTTTTATTAATAATAAAAATTAATTTGGATTTAATTAATTTCTGTCTAAATTTCTGGGATCAAGAATTATTATCTACATGTGGACTAATTCACTCAATTTCTTTGGTGTAACCACAATGTTTCAAACATTTTACTCTCTTCTTCAGATTCCTTGTCAATCAGGATGAACTCTAGTGACTTTTGAACTGAGTCCTTTATTTAATCTGTTCATGTAGATTCTCATTGTTTCACTGTCCATCTCATCTTGTTCTATTTTAATACTGCTCAGTAACTGCTATTCCTATTTCCACTGAATCTGTACTACCCAAGCCAGGGATTGAACTCATAATTATGATGCAAACCAAATTCATGAACCAACACTTTATTCCTCAAGGATATTTTCCAATGGCTCATGAGTTGTTGGCATAATAATTGGAAGTTCAGTCCCTGATCCAGGTAGTACAGACTCAGACCCTTCACTGAGCAGTACTGAAGAACAAATCTAGATGTGGCTGTGGAAAAAGAACAATCTACACCTTTAGATTAAGTAAAGGGTTCTGTTTGAAACTTACCTGGACTGACAAGCACCTGAAGAAGTCCTAGAAGCAACAGTAACGAAAACCTTGTGGTAATAACAACAAAGATGAGGACATTAGTCCAAATGTAAATAGAATCAGCTTTTTGTCTAGATGATTAAAAGCAAATAATCTATTCAAGCAGATAAACTATAAAATCATATTTATGTCGGATTCAAGCAGAAACCATTTTAAAATTATGATTACTGAACAGTGTGTTCATGTGTCCCTAATCTCTTCAAATAGAAATCTGCAGCTGAACTCGGTGATGCATAGCGATCTAAGCTGAGCCAAAAATAAACTTGGACAAATGGGTTGTTCAGTTCATTGCTTGTCTATGAGATTGGTAGTAGGTTGAGGCTCATTGTGAAATTGGATCCTCTGTGGAACGCACTATAAACCTATCGAGAGAAGCGTTACAAATGTATTGGCTACCTTTTCAGTTCAATGGCTTTATAAAAATTTTCCTCACATATTTCAATTGCCTCAAGCCTAAGAATTTGTCATTTCCCTCTCCCATTTACTCTCATCCCATACTTCTTTCTATCTCTCATTCACTCTCATATGATTTTTTCTCTCTTTCTCTTTCACTCTCTCTTCCCATTTACTCTCACTCTCTCTCTCTTTCACTCTTTTCCCATCTTTTTCTCTCTTTCACTCTTTTCCCATCTTTCTCTCCTTCATTCAAACTCATCTCCTTCTCCTCCTCTTCCTCTTTCGCTCTTATTCCATCTTTCTCTTTCTCTCATTCACTCTCATCCCATTTTCCCTCTCCATGATTCACAATCAATTTTCTCTTTCCTTGATTCACACTCATCTCACCTTTCCTTCTCCCTCATTTACTCTCATCCCATCTTTACTACTCATTCATTTACTCTCATCTTCATCTTTCCCTCTCCCTCTCGCATCTTTCTCTTTTTCTTTCCCACTCACTCATTTACTCTCCTCTTCATTTTTCTCTCTCGCTCTCTTCCCATCTTTTTCTTTCCATCTCCCTCTGTCCCTTTCATTTAATCTTTCCCTTTTATTCACTTTCAATGAATTCTTCTCTTTTTCTTTCTTTGCACCTTTCTCTCTTCCCCTTCCATTTTATTTTTTCCTCTTTTTTGCCTTTTACCCCATCCTTCTCCCTCTCCATCATCCTATCATTTTTTTCCCTCATTTACCGCAGCAGCAGTTTAGGGACTCACAACAAATAAAGTGCTTTGTCAATACTCTCAACTGTGTTAGTGACTGTGTTGATTGACCAGATTACATTGGTGTTGTAACTAAGTACTTGGTTAAGAAATAACAAAACAAGAGGTTTCAGATAGTGTATTGAACATTAAATACAACAGAAGTGTGTTACACAAGTTAGGAGTGTGTATCAGTTGACCAGCATTCAGTCTATCACTATCCCCACCGAGACTTACATTTCCTACTACTTTATAGTAAGTGGAAGAGTCCATAATAGACTCATTCGAGGGAAGATATCACAACACATCCCTTTTCAGCCTGACTCCATATGGAGTTTCTTTTTTTTTTATCATGACCACACAATACTTTATTCAATCAAAAAAAAAAAAAAAAAAAAATCAGCAACAACTTTAAAAAAAGCTATATGTCGGAATTACGTCATAAAATTTTTTCTCTTTTTTTAGATTTTGACACACATTTTACATGTTAAGAGTAGTCTCTATTCATTATACCAAAATAATGAAAAAAAAATTAAATAAGTTTTGATAGTAAATCCAATAAGTATTGTGTTTCTCTGGTAAATCCAAACGTTTATACATGAGTGAAAAGGATTTTTTTTTTCATTCCTTTCCTTTTCTGTAGTCATGGTATGAAACTGAAAAATGCTTAATATTTTTTCCTTTTCAGGTTTACTTGTAACGGTTCTATGAACTTCCTTTTCTTTTTTGGGGGCTTCTCAGCTCTGGTACCGATTGTTGTAATGGAACCTCGAATGTGTCAAAAATGACATCCATGGTGTCATATTCTATGGGATCCCTGTCAATTATGCTTTCATACCTTCTTCTGATTTGGTTAAAATGATGTTTATGTACAAACTTTGGTCCTTGAACAATGTACATCATGTTCCCAACTTGTTTGTCAATTATCCCTATCTCCCAGTGAGCTTTGTTGTTCTCAAAAACACAATAATTAAACCTTTTCACTGATCCTAAAGTGCTTTTTAAGCACTTTATTCTTATTATCAGCTGGCATCTTGGCAGATGGAGCACGACTATTAGGAGTTACCTGAGAGACCTGCAAAACTGTTGTACAGCCGTATCAGTGGGAGTACCTCTCGCCTTCCTCAGTGCTCTCTTAAAAGTATCTACAAAACGCTCTGCCTGTCCATTACTTCTTGGGTGATATGGTGCCGTGGTAATATATTCAATCAGGAATGACCAACAAAACTCCTTAAACTCACACGATGTAAATTGTGTGCCATTGTCTGTTACAATGCAGTCAACGACTCCAAAACAGGCAAATAGCTTGTGTAAGAACTTGACTGTTACTTCCACTGTTGGCTTTTTGCATTTCAATACTTCTGGCCACTTGGAATGACTGTCAACTACTATGAGGTAGTGAAAACCATCAAGTGGTTCAGTAAAATCAATATATATCCGTGACTACGGACAATTGGTTTTAGGTCAGGGATTGAATTTTATTGGAGGTGCTTTAGCAGCCAAAGTACATCCTTTGCATGATCTTACCATGTTTTCAATAATCCTGTGCATGTTGGTCCAGTAAACATAACTCCTCATCAGAGTCTTCATCCTTGAAGTTCCCAGATGGCCAACATGGAATTCTTTTAGTGTTTTACTCTGAAGTGTAGTTGGGATTAGTACTCTGTCTCCACACATTAGTATGTCATTACAGAGTGAGTAGACTTCTGAAATACTCTGGTCTTTGCTTTTCAATTTGTCCTTTATTTCCTTTATAAAGTCATCCTTGGATTCTTTGTCTATTAGTTGATTGTAATTGGAAGCTCTGACTGTATTGCACAAGGTGCTTTTCACGTCAACCTCTGTTCTTATGATAGCAATGACTGTGTTTTCTAGGAGTTCAGCATATTTGGGTATCAATCTTGATAACCTGTCTACATGACAGATTTCAGTAGGTGGGAGAAACTCCATTTTGTAATTGTAATTGAGGAGAATACTTCCCCATCTTTGCAATCTATTAGCTGTATGTGTTGGCAGACCCTTTTTTGAACCAAAGATAGTGGATGATGGTCTGTCTGCAGCACAAAGTGCCTTCCATGAATAAATCTATAGAATTTAGTTACAGCAAAAATGATTCCTAATGCTTCCTTTTCTATTTGCGATTAACCCCTTTCAGCTGGAAATAGCATCCTAGATGCATGGGCGATTGGCTTTATCGATCCATCCTTTAGCTTATGTAAAATGCACACGCCAATACTGTAAGAGCTAGCATCGCTAGCTACAGTGATGTCTAGATTTGGATCATAGTGTGTCAGGAATAGATCTGATGTAAGGTCATGCTTTATTTTCTCAAATGCTTCCTGGCATTCGGTTGTCCATTCCAACTCTTTGTCTTTTCTCAATAACTCATTAAGTGAAGATCTTAAACTGCATTTTTGGAACAAAAACATTATAATAATTGGCAAGACCTAAAAAACTTTGCAGAGCTGACACATTTTCTGGTGCTGGCATATTCTTCATAACATACACCTTAAGTTTTAATGTTTTATCTTTGAATGGCGTGTTCGTAACAAGTTTGCCCATAAACTTAATAGTTACTCCTTTAGCTATTCAGTTCATTCTTAACAAAGTCGGCTTACCCAATTTTTTCTGTTTGATAATTAATTATGAATAAGTCTGAACATGAATCCAGCTGTAGACATATATTTTTGTTATATATTTGTACTTCTATATATTTTCTGATGATACTACCTTCTGGTTCATCAGACTTGGTAGTTTTTAAGAAACTTTTTCTTGTCTTGCTCTTAATCCTGTAGTGAGAACGTTTGTGTCCCACTTTATTGCAATTAAAACATTTTTTATCTTTAAAAGGACAATATTTATACCAATGTAATTGACCACACCCAAAATATGGCAAAGTAACTGTATAATTTTTTGTTGGCCCATTTAAAATTTTCTTTGGCATATTTTTTTAATGTGAGCCACACCACTATGTAAAATGTTTTTCGAATCCTCTCTGACGGTCATGAAGTGTTGGCAGTCTTTGACAACTTGCTGTAAAGTAACGTTGGGCTCGTTTTCAAGCTTGTTGAGCACCCTACAACATATTTCAGCATCTTTCGCTGAAATCAAACCCTGAACGAAAATCAGGCATTTAAAGTTATTAGCACTTAACTCTGCCAATTTGAAATCATCACAGTATTTATTGACTACACTCATGAAAGTAGTCTAATCTTTGTCTTCTTTGCGGGTGAGATTCATGTATTTCCAACGCTTGTGAAACAGTGAAGTTTTTGGACTGAAGAGTTCTGTCAATGATTGAACCGCTTCTTTAGATTTCAAGTCACTGGATTTCTTAGGCAAAATATAGTTAACAAACTTAGTATATTCTGCTGTGCTTAATTTCCTGAGGAGTAGGCGGACCTTTTAATGGTCAGCCCAATTTGCACAATCCGTATTGTATACATCATTGTAACATTTAAAGTACGACACAAACGTAATTTCATTTTGAGGTGCGTACATGAAGTTTTCAATAGCACTCCATATAGCATTTGGAGAGAATGCATTCTTGCTATCCTCATATTGTCTTTTATTGGATAAGTGCCTTTGCTCATTCTGTGTTTTAAGGACCAATTCCTCAAGCTTCTGTTGTCTAACCAGAATTTATAGGTGCAGTTTTTTATTTTCTTGTTCATTTTGCAAACGCAATTCTGCTTGTACTCGTTGAAATTTCTCTTGTTTTTCTTGAAATTTATTTTCCAACAGGAGTTGCTGTTCCTGCTGGTGTTTTATCAACTCTAGCATTGCACTTTTAAATTCATCCATTTTACTGCAGTGGTATGAAAAATTAAAATTTTTTTTTCACTTCACCCAACAATAAGTCTGCTTGACTTGAACAATTCTTTTTCAGAAAAATTTAAAAGTCAGAGACAGGGTAAATTTTTACCCTATTAGTGAAAACAATAAGTCTGCTTGACTTATTCAGTTCATTTACTGTTTTGTTGGAAAAAAATAACAAGGTTTACCAACCTTCTTCCCAACCACTGAGTTGAACTTGTAAAAATCCTATTGTTTTACAGAATTTCTTTTTTTTTCACTGACAGTAGTAATTAACACTGGATATCCTTTTGCCGTAGAGTTTCTTTTCTTCACCAGTGTTGTAGACACTGGAAAAAATTTTTATGACTTAACTTGAAGACCATTTTTTCGAGGCCTTTGTTGCCAAGGTGTTGTGCAACAAATTTTTTTATGATGTTTTAAACGTGAATTTTGTTTCTTCGAATCCTCATTGCCAAGATGTTGTGATAAAGTAATTAGTTGAGAAATAACAAAACAAAAGGTTGCAGATAAATAATGTATTGGACAGTAAATACAGCAGAAGTATGTTACACGACTTGGGAGTGTGTATCGGTTGACCAGCATTCAGTCTATATCACTGTAACCCCCCCCCCAGGCCTTCTTTTCCTACTACTTTATAGTAAGTGGAAGAGTCCATAGTAGACTCATTAGAGGGAAGACACTACAACAATTGGCTAATGTTTTGACTAGAAAAGATTTTATAAATGATCATCACTAATCCAAGATAAACCCAGCATGACATGCATTCTATCCTCTGTTTGGAGAGATTCATATCTTGAACGAAAATGAAATTGAATCACAGAAAAATGTCATTATAAAAATATATCACCATTTACATGTGTAGCAAAAAGTGTGAACATTTCCCACATTTAGAAAAGCCAGCATTAGTCAAATGGAATTTCTTACTCGTGATAGATATTTGTACTGCTTTGTGGAACCAACTCCCAAGAAGTTGCCTCTCTGATCATTACAATCTTAATCTGTTCAAGTCTAGGGTTAACC